CTCCCAGTGTCTGTGAATTCCTTGATTTTTGTTGTTGCATTTTTCCTTTTCGCATTGAGTGCAAAGTGCAAAAGATGACACATATCATCATAACCAATGTATTCAGGAAACGAATGATTTGCAAAGAATGTAAGCAAGTAATGATATACCTGCGAAAAAATTACAAAGGAAGAGCAAAAGCATACAACATAGAAAGTATAAGAGTGAGTACATGATATTCATCATAAAAGGGAATACCGGAAAGCAGTTCGAAGAAATATGCAATCAGACCTCCTTTCTCCGACTCGACATGCATGTAAACAAATACAGATATGGTTGGTGCAACTGCGCCCACACTAAAAACTGAGAGATTTGAACCTCGCCAGGAATACAGTCGGATTCAACTTTATGCAGAAATGGCTCGACAAAGTTTCTCCTTCCGATCGCTGTATCTCGACAACTTGTTTGCACACACACTACACACACTCACTCGCTATCTGGATCTACCCTTGATGTACCACTCATACACGAACTCACACTAACTCACTATCATCTATTAACACACTGACATGGCGGCTATAACTGCCGTCTTGCTCCTCCTACAAATAGCTATGGTGATTCCCTCTCCTAGCCCGCTTCCTCTACGGGCATCTGCAAACCATCGTACACGAGCGGCTACTTTGACACCGCTTCCGCACGGCTCACATACATAATGAATGAATGACTCGACGCTACCTCTTGGTTTATACTTCGTAGATTGGTTGGCCGGTCCTATTGGACCCTAGCCCAAGGTGTGCACAGTCCCATTGGTACTTACTGACTGGATGTTTTCAAGTGCTGCTGACTGGACTGGTACGATCTGATAGGTAGGACTGTCCTCTAGACACTTCTACGTAGGACTGACACCTAGGACCTACGAAGAGCCACCTAGGATAGTTCTAGATAGATCTACAACCTACGTGGGTGACCCTTCGGCTCTGTAGAAGCTACGACTCAATCTAGCTACGACCTAAGCTACAGATCTATGGATCGAACCCATGCAGCTCACATATGTACAACAGTCCCAAACAGACAACTTTCGGGCGATAGGTCACGGGTTCAAACATACACAGACCTGGGATACTGTACGCAGGGTATAGAGAGGTCCAGGGATCAAACCCTGGGTGTTGTAACTGTTATGAAAAGGTGAAAACCGTGTCAAATATCTCCCTTAAATAAAGTCGCCTATAAAAAGAATAACAAGAAGCAGTTCAAACAAATATTTGCCTTAAATAATGAACCATAATTTGTTTGCTCTTTTTTGAACTTCTGATTCTACAATGTCTCATTTTTTTGTAGCTTAAATCACAACCCTTCCGTTTCTTTTCCTTTTTGTTGTTGGTTCAGGCACGACGGTGGTCGCCTGGACATCAACCCCCAAGCTGGGTTCTAGGATAAGCAAGATACAAGGTGTTTCAACAGGGGGGGGGGAGGGCACAAAAAGACGAGGAGATGAGCAAACGTGTCTTTGATGAGATTGTAAAAACTTCCTTTGTTCGTGTAGGCAATTAAAAAATGGGATAAAGAAAGACATTCCACAGTTTCTTTAAAATAAATCAACAATGAGAGAGAGAGAGAGAGAGAGAGAGAGAGAGAGAGAGAGAGAGAGAGAGAGAGAGAGAGAGAGAGAGAGAGAGAGAGAGGGTGATTGTGGGAGAGAAGGAGAGAGAACGTGAGAGGGCACATTTACGTGGGAAAAAAAGAGGAGGTGAAGAAAATGAAAGACTATCGTGAGACAGAAGGTTGGAGAGGGCAAGGAAGGTCACTATGTCACCGCTAAGATGGAGACGAGGAGACAAAGTCGGGTATGGGAGAAAGAATGACATAGCGTGAAAGATTGTTGCGGGTGAGGAAAACGTACAAAGAGCAAGGAGGGGAATACCACAAACGAAGATAAACAGAGCTGCGTGGTAATTCTTAGGTAAAAGGGGAGAAGAGGACAACAAACAAGAGGGTATATATATCTATATCAACTTCTTAATGAGTGGGTGAAACTCCGACAAAATAGTTTGTCACAACCCCTCGTTTGTTGTCCTCTTTCCCCTCTCTGCCTACGGTTTACCACAGACAGAGAGGGAGAAGAGAACAACAAACGAGGGGCTGTGACAAAATGTTTCGTCGGAGTTTCACTGTAACGAGCGCGAGGCTGAGGGAGACAGGGAGAGCCGAGGGAGAGGAGAGGGAGAGAGAGAGAGTGAGAGCACACACACACACTCACTCACTCGACACGACTGAGCGTCGGACGCAGACACAGTGGCAAGGACACAAAGTCGAAGTCTTGGATTCTGAATGCCGAAACAGGAGCAAGTCACACTGGGTACGAGTACAACAACTGGAAACTAGTACGGGACTGGTCCCCGTACTGTACGGGGCACCGATATAAGTACCGGGGGCAGATCTGCAAAAGCCTTCCGATGGCAGAACTGAAAAGTGCGGTATTTGAAAGTGGCGCCCGAATTGCAGCATGACGCCAGTTGTCCAAAATCCGATGGTACTAAAGAAAGGGTTTGGAAAAAGGGTGCCAGGCCGAAAACGAGAAGCAGCAGAAACAACAAAAAGATGGACCAGGGATCGAGCCCTGGCGGAGTCCGTAACACTATCCCCTCCCTCTAGAAGGCAACGTCCTGGCTGCCAAAAGCCATGAAGCCATGTTGAAAGTTGTGAAGGACGGAACGGGGCCGATCACTGGTCAACAAGTCGAAGGAGGAAGAGGGGTATAATGTAGGTGATAAGGCACAGGGTGTCGCGTTGGTGGGTTGTGAACAGGGCTATCCTACTGGTGGGCTAAGGGTATTGCAGGGAAACAGGATAGTCCTATTGATATTCTACAAGGGGGAGCAGGTAACAGGATATCCACTGATGTTCTACAAGGGTGAACAGGGGATAGGGTATTCCTACTGATGTTCTACAAGAGTGAACACGGGATAGGGTATTCATATTGATGTTCTACAAGGGTGAACAGGGGATAGGGTATTCCTACTGATATTCTACAATGGGAAACTGGTAACAGGGTATTCCTATTGATGTTCTACACGGGTGAACGGGGTAGTTCTATTGAAATTCTACAAGATTATGGGTTGTCAGGGGATGCAAAATAAAATAAAAGAATTGTATGTTGCAGGTTCGAGGGCAATTTCACATGTACAAGGGTTGGGGTGTCTGATGGGATCTGGGTACACAGTCTGAGGTCTGTAATAGGTCAAGGGGTCTGGGGGGGTCTTCAAGTGTCTTGATGAGCAACAGGAAAGGGGTCTTCGGAGGTCTTGAGCAGGTCCCAAAGTAGGCAGCAAGGCGGTCTTCAGTAGCTGCGAGAGGAGGTAGTCGTAGAGGTAGTCCAAAAGGCCAAAGTCGAAGTGCTCAGGTGCGTCCGGTACACGATTGGCAATTGAACCTGATCCGGTAGCAAGGGAGTCACAGACTGGTACATGGTTCATGTGACAAGTAGCTGCTCCAGGGAGTCTGCGAGGCAGGGTGCTGCCCGTTGTAGCAGCATGGTGGCCAATCCAGCTGCATAATCTCCATGAACAGTGATGCAGCAAGCCATCGCCCTCGTGCGCATGCCATTAGATCCTTTATCGTCGGTCGTCACGCAGGTCCACCAACATTGGACAAGATGGACAAGGAAGTGGAGAGGACGAATGGGGCAAGGCTAGGCGAGGAACAAGGGCAGATCAAACATCAGAAAAGTGGGTCAAGGGCAAGGGTGGCTGTGGCGGGGGTGTGTGTAGAGCGAGGTGGCGAGGTTGTAGCAGGGATTAAGCAAGGGTTCATGGTTTAGTCAGGGTATGGGCAAGGGAGGTAGCTAGGATGCAGGGTGGGAACGATCATAGGCGCGGACAAGTCTCATGGCATTCTTGAGATTTTCAAGGGGTTCCCATGTTGATTCTTTGTCAGGGTATCCGGTCCATTTGACTTTGTATTCGGTGATTGGTTCCGGATGGTCTGCGACTTGGGTTGTTCTTCTTCCTATGATTGATTCGACTATGAATTCTGGTCCAGTGGGAAGCATGATAGGTGGAGGTCGAGGATATGGGCGATCAATGAACTGAGACGGGGATTCGTGGTATTCCTTGAGATATTCTACATGGAACACTGGGTGTACATGGCTTATGTCAGGGGGTAGCTGGAGTTTGTAGTTCACAGGAGAGGTTTGTTCAATGATGGGGAAGGGACCAAGCCACTTGTTCGAGAGTTTCTTGGACAAGCCCGGTTCGGGTTCAAAGCGTTTGGCGGAGAGCCATAATTTGTCCCCTACTTGGAAGGTGATATCACGACGATGGTTGTTGGTTTGTTTCACTTGTTGTTCCTGGGTGTGCTTGATTGACTCGGTTGCTTCTCTTAGGAGACGGTTCATGTTGCAACCCATTCATTGAGAGAGGGACAGGGGGAGGATGGGTTGAGTTGCGAGGGGAGCAAGAAGTCAGAAGGCAAGCATGGGTGATAACCAAGGTCAAGGTAGAAGGGGGACATGCCAGTGGAAGGGCAAACGGCGTTGTTGTAGGCAATCTCGGCGGCGGTGAGCAGCCGATCCCAATCGTGCTGGTGGGGATGACAATACATCCGCAAGATTCTTTGGAGAGTATCGTTCATCTTTTCGGTCTGTCCGCCGGTTTGTGGATGGAATGCAGTGTTGTACCTGAGCGTGGTTCCGTAGGCATTGAAGAGTTGTTTCTAGAATTGGGAGAGAAAGCGGGGATCACGATCACTGATGATATTCTCGGGGAGGCCGTGGTGTCTGGCGACATGGTCGAAGAAGAGAATGACAATGTCTTTGGCGTTGTGCAAGGTGGTATATGGGATGAAGTGAGCACGTTTGGTCAGGCGGCAATCAATGACGTAGATGCAGTCATGCCCGCGGTCGGTCTTGGGAAGACCGCACACGAAGTCCATGGAGACGGACTGCCAACGGTGGGTGGGGATGGGCAATGATTGAAGCATGCTGGGCTTAGCCCGGTTCGAGGGGTTGAAGGCCTGACACGTGGGGCACGAGCGGATGTAGGCTTTGACATCAGCAAGGAGGGAAGGCCAATGGAAATAACGGAAGATGGTATCAAAGGTTTTCTGGAAACCAAGGTGGCCAGTGGTCTTGGCGTCGTGGTGCTCGGCCAAGAGCTGGGTTTGGAGGCCACGGGCGTCAGGGATGCAGAGTCGGCGGGAGCCTTTGGTTTCAATATAGAGAAGGTTGTCGTGGAGGGCATAGCCGGAGACGGGGTCGAGGTCACGGAGTTCGTTGTAGATGGTGGAGAAGTCGGGGCAAGAGAGGTATCATTGGGTGTAGCGATGGTGGAGCGATGGCAGGGGCTGGATGTGGGTCATGGTGGCGTAGACTTTCTCAAGGGGCTTGTGGTTGGGGCGGCGGGAAAGGGCATCGGCAACACGGTTGCTTTTGCCGGGGGTGAGGCAAATGGTGAAGGTAAATTGGGCAAGGAAGTCGAGCCAGCGGGCTTGGCGAGGGGTGATGCCTTTCTTGGTAAGAATAGAGGAAACAACGGTGTTATCGGTGCAGATGGTGAAATATTGCCCGTCTAGGTACGGGCGCCAGACTTTGAGGGCGTAGACCACGACGCGGAGCTCCTTCTCGTTGGATGGGTAGTTCATTTCTGCGGGAAGGAGTTTCTTGCTGGCGAATGCGATGGGATGCTCGCCGGGTGGGCATTAGGAGTGAGTGGGGGAGTCCTTGATGGAGGGGGTTTCCATGGGGTCGGGGGGAAAGTGCTGGGATAAGACGGCCCCGATGGCAAAGTCGGAGCCATCCGTGGTGACGAAGAAGTGGCGAGTGGGGTCGGCGATTTTGAGGACAGGGGCAGTGGTGATGAGCTCCTTGAGGTTGTCGAAGGCGGCTTGGCGGCGGTCTGTCCAAGCGAAGGGTTCGGTGGCACGGGTGAGCTCATGGAGAGGATAGGAAACGTCGAAAAAGTTGCGTATGAAGGGGCGGTAGTAGTTGGCGAGTCCCGTGAAGGAGCGAAGTTGGGTTAAAGTGGTGGGAGGGGGGAACTCGACGAGGGCAAAGACCTTTTTGGGGTCCATGCGGATGCCGTCGGTGGGGACAATGTGACCAAGGTATTCTATGCTAGAGGCAGCAAATGTGCATTTGCTGAGCTTGGCGTAGAATTTCTGGTCGCGGAGAATGGCGCGGAGACGATCAAGGTGGGACTCGAAGGTGGGGCTAAAAACAAGGATGTCGTCGAGGTAGATCATGACACAGACTTCGAGGAGGTCGCGGAAGATGTGGTTCATGGTGGATTGGAATGTGGCGGGGGCGTTGGTGAGACCGAAAGGCATTACGAGAAACTCGTAGTGCCCGAAGCGAGAGCGGAAGGCGGTTTTGTGGGTGTCCTCCTCGCGGATGCGGATCTGGTGGAAGCCACTGCAGAGGTCGATCTTGGTGAAGTATTTGGCTCCACGGAGGCGGTCAAGAAGTTCGGATATCCGGGGAAGCGGATACTTGTTCTTGATCGTGATCCGGTTCAAGGCGCGGTAGTCCGTGCACATGCGGAGTTCCGAGGTGCCGTTCTTCTTGACGAAGAGACAACTGGTACCGAAGGGGGAGGAGCTAGGCTTAATGAATCCTTTTTCAAGGAGTTCATTAAGCTGGCGCTTCATTTCTTCGGCCTCGGGGACGGAGAGCTGGTATGGGGTGCGGCAAGGGGGGGAGTGGCCGGGCTTGAGATCAATGGTGTGGGAAACACCTCGGTCAGGAGGTAGTCCGGCGGGCAAGGATTCGGGAAACACGTCTTTAAATTTGGATAGGAGGGCGGAGATCTGAGGGTCGGAGGGGGGGTCTTGGTCGGGTTTGTCCGTTGGAAGCAAGTCCTCAGGACGGTCGAGGTCAATGACAGGGCAATAGTAGGCGGAGTCGGGGTGTTCACGGGTCATGTGAAGAAATTGGTGAGGAGAGACGGGGAAAGGGGTGGAGGGAGGGAGAAAGTAGGGGATGTCAAGGGGTGGATCGGGAGGGGTGGAAAGGAGGACGAAAGAGGGGTGGAAGGTATAGGGCATGTAGCGGTCGAGCCAAGGAGTCCCGAGTACGATGTCGCACATGAGGTGCATGACATCAAAGGAGACCTGATTGCGAAGAGGGCCGACAATCATTGTGATCTCGGGGACTGTGCGATCGACGACGATGGCTGAGTCCTTATCCCCTAGGCGGATGGTGATCGGGGAATCATAGCCGGTGGAAGAAAGGCCGGCTTTGCGGACACAGGCATTCATGATGAAGTTGCCGGTGGCACCAATGTCGAGAAGGGCCCGGAACTTCACCGTCGATGCTCCAAAGGAGACGACGACGAACTTGAGCTGGAACTGGGCGGTCCCGGCACAAGCGGAGGAGATCATGGCGTTGAGGCTACGCTGCTTGAGGCCTAATCTAACAAGCCGAGTGTGTCGGTCTTGTTCCTCAACGAGATCTGAGAAAGTGATGGTGGAGGGGTTGGGGAGGAGGGTAGTGGAACATGTGGCCGTGGGGTGCTTAGCCGACGGAATAGAGGACGTCGTCGGGAGGAGGGCAGGCGGAGTAGACTGCGACGCCTAGGGGGTGTCCGGTGTGAGAGTCGTCGCCGGCAGACGAATTGTTGATGCCAGGACATGGCTACAAGGGGCGGGGGACAATGTTCAAGTGGAGGAGGGTCCAAAGGCCGCGGTGGAGGAGGAGGAAGTGGATGTGGGAGGGTTGGATCCGGTGGGGCGGGAAGGCTGGTGGGTGGAGCGGCCGGCCTTGGGCCAATTGGTTTGCTGATGCCCCAGCTGGCGGCAACGGAAACAACCGCTGTTGGCCTGGAGGAAGGCGCGTTCGGCGGGGGTGAGCTTTTTGAGACGAGGGGGTTGGGGGGAGGAGGAAGGCTGGGAGGCCAGGCGTTGCCGTTCCATCCTCATGAGATGGACAACCTGGAAGTCTTCCTCGGTGAATTGGGCTGGGTCAAGGGACTCGGGAGAGGAGTCAAAGTTGTCGTCGGAGGGGAGTGACGAGTCGTCGGAGGCCATATTGTGGAAAAACCGGGTGCGGTTGGGGGCGACTGGTCGTTGAGAGCGGAGGTGAGGAAGGCGATCATGGTGGAGAAGGCGGGTAAGGAGATCGGTGACAGGGATCTCGGGCTCATGGGCGAGGGTTGCGGCGAGGTGGGGGAAGCATACCCGCTTGATGCGGGAGATGAAGACGTAGTCGGATATGAGAGTCGGCGGGATGTGGAGGCGGAGGGAGCGAACGTAATGGATGAATCGCTTGGTGGGGCCGGTTTGGCAGAGGTTGCAAAATTGATCGATGTAGTCATCGATGGTCTTTTGCGGACGGAAGGTGGCGATGAGAAGGTCGGCCCATTGAAGGAAGGTGATGCGGGGAAGGTCGTTGGCTCGACGGTTGTTGGCTTCGGTTAACCACCATTGAGCGGCGGCGCCTTGGAGGCGGGAGGTTGCGGTGGGGAGCCAATGAGCGAGGGGCATGTTGTGGAGGTCGAAAGCATTTTGGATTTGAGAGAGGAAAAGGAGGACGTCCTCGTGGGGGAGGCCGGAGAACGTCGCGATATCGGTGGCGCGGAAGGAGCGGGAAATGTCCCCGTTGCGGGGACGATGCAAGTGAGGTTGTTGAAGTTGCGGTCGTCAGGAGAGGTGTTGTAGCAGGTGTGATCCTGATTGCGGTCACCAAGGAGATAGCAAGGTGGATGTTGGGGTATGGCGGGGTAAACGCCCGAAAGGACTTGGGAGTAAGAGGGGTGGACAAAGGGGATGGTGGAAGTAGTTAGGAGAGGTTGGGTGGGGGGGAGGACAGGTGAAGGGGAGTGGTTTGCATGGTGGTGGAAGCGCTTGTAGTAGGTTGTGAGGAGGGGAGGGAAACGGGAAGGGAAGTGACGAGGGTGGAAAAAGGTGTGGTGGAGGACGGTGGGGGGGTGTTGTTGGATGATGAGGCCCGGCCGGCTTGGCCGGCGGAGAGGCTTTCGCCAGATTGGCCGGAGGAGGGGGGTTGGCTATTTTGGCCGGAAGAAGAGGGTTGGCCGGTTTAGCCGGCGGGGGTGGATTGGATGGATTGGCCGGAGGAGGAGGGGGGTGGTGACGTCGTGATGATGGTGATGGCGGGTGTGTGGTTTTCGAGGGAGGTGACGCGATCGGATATGGAGGTTACGGAGGCCTCGATTCTGCGGAGCGAGGCAGAGAGTGCTTGAAACATGGAGATGAGAGATGTGTTATCCCCGGTGCCTGGCTGGTCGACAAGCTTGCGGTGGATATCCTCAACGGAATCCATGCAGAGCGAGCCCATGTTGATGCTTGAGGTGCCTTCGGCCATGGGGAGGGACGAAGGTGGGGCAGAGGGAGAAGATGGAGTGGAGGGGACAACGGAGGTGACAACAGCGGCGTTGGCGGAGGCGCGTTGGGAGGTCTTGGATTGGCGGGGTGGCATGTGGGAGCGGTTTCTAATCCCGATTTAGAAAAATGATGGTTGATTTAAATCGAGGTTAGAGGAAGTTGTCCTGAGAGGAAAGGGGGGGGGGGGGGAATGAAAATTTGGGGGCAAAGTTTTGGGGAAGAAAATTAAAATCGGAACAGAAATTTCAATGGAATCAAATTTGGCGAAGAAAAATTGCAAAAAATTCGGGTTAAAGGAAAAGGAAAAAATTAAATTTTCAAGATAATGAAATTCGAATTTATTCAATTTAATTTTCAAAAAGGGAAAAAATCTTGGAAATAAATTCTAAATGACAATAAAAAATTTCGGGCTATCTTACGCGACAAAATTCAGAAAATTTAAAATTGGAATAAGTGGAAAATTTTTTAAAAAAATGGTATATTTTGGGGATTTATTTTGAATTTTTAACGAATTTAAATGATAATTATGAAAATAATTTAAATCAAGATTTCCGAATTACTTTGAAAAAAGAAAAGAATTGTTGGAAAAGAAAAAGGTTAAGTTCGAGAAAATAAAACGGAATTTGAAAAAGAAATTCGAGACTTTTCAAAACGAAAAGAAAATTGAATTCGGATTTAAAAGTTGATTCTTTTTCGGGATTTAATTATTTAAGTAATTAAAATGTTTGCAAGAATTTTTTTTTGGAATTTCAAAAACGAAAATGCAATTTTTGGGTGGAATAAATAAAATTTTAGGGTATTTCGGAAGAAATTAATTTCGAAATGCAAAATATTCGAATTTTTTTTCGAGATTCAAAAGTATTTCAAAATGGCTAAATTGATTAATTGCGAAATTAATTTTTGAAAGATAAATGACAAGGAAAAGAGAATATTAATTGCTGATTATGAAAAAGAAAACTAACTGCGAAAAAAGAAAAATTTTTGAAAAGAATTAATTTCAAAACGAACTAAAAAAAAAAAAAAAAACGGGCAAGTTTTAAGATGTTCAATGATTTGTAAGCCTTGTCCTATTGTGCTATGTGTTGTGCGGGTAAGGGAGGGAGCGCGAAGCAGGTGGGGACAGAAACGCGCGGGGGAGATGGAAGGGGCGGGGGGGGGGGTGGGAACCCGAGTCGGGTTAGGGGGGCACAGGGGAAGAAGTGCACGTGGGGGGGAACCCGGGGGGGGGAGTCTCGAAGCGAGGGGGGGAAGGAAGTTGGAGGGGGG